CAAATCTCAGTTTTAAGAGGTAGAGCTTGAGTGTAAAATTCCCTCCTGTGGTTCTCCTGGAACCACCTCCAAGGACAGAAACACTGCACTAGACCTTGAGTTTGTGTTTTTGGACTCTACTGCCACATGCTTGCCATTTTGTTTCTGTTTCAGTAGTAACCAAGTCTTTTTAGTAAGGTGGGAGCTCCAGAGTCCCTCTTACTTAAACTTAGTGGATTTGATATACAGTAAGTTATAAACACCTGCAGAAAAAGTAAGACATAAAGTTCCTCTAGTCTTTGCAACTCGTTCATGTATATACTGGTGCTAATATTATTAGGAAACAATACACACACACACACACACACACACACACACTTTAATGTGATGAGTTTCTGGTGTTTCAGTTTAGTTTTCTTCATTTTGAGTGCTGACATAGCACTCAATAATAGCATCAAAAACAAAAGCAAAAGCAACCCTGGAAATGGTAGTTACACCATCCCATAGATGTGTGCTAATACCAAAAATTATCTTTGAATTAACTTCTAATTATTTTCTTTTGCTGTGATTTTCAAATTTTCACAATGATTCTACTAGAGAAAGAAGTCAAAGCCACATAGGTTTACACTGTGAAGGGGACTATACATGCTTTGGTGATGGGAAAGCTATGGTATGGTAAGCACACCAAGGGAGAAATTCTACACTGTGAAAAAACAAGCAAGCAAGTAAAATAATTTTTAGAAATAAATAAAATAAAAATAGTTTGGCGTTTTGGGATTATATCTACTAAAATGTCTGTGGCGGGGAACTGTGCATAATAATTAATCTTCTAACCAAAGTCCTTTGACCTCCTGTCAAACACCAAGGTTCCCCATATCTTTATTTCTTTCATTGTCTTTTAAACATAATTAAAGACAATTATACACCCAAACCAAAAGCACCCCCCCCCAAACAAAAACAGTCCACAGCCTCTAGATATAGCTACTATAGAACAGAGAAAGCTTTCATGTGCAAACTGGGGCTGAGCTAAGACTATTTGCATGTCTCACTATGATTTTCAACCTCGGCCAAGTGACTTTCAAACCAATCAAAAAAAAAAAAAGATGACTTTTTATTTTTTAATTTCTGAATCTGAATCTGAGGGACATAAGGAAAGATATTTTTCTCTTTCAAGTTCCTTATTAAAATTTCTCTTTTAAATACTCAACTCCCCAAATCAGAATTAGTTAAAGAAACCTCTCAATTCAGTGGGTCATGAATCATCATTACTAGCTGACATTTATTATCTATTTACTATGAATAAGATCCTGTGCAATTGTTAGTGACCCTGAAGTTTGACTTCTACCAGATTCCCAATACTGCCATGGATTTATAAAAGAAAATATTGTGTGTGTGTGCGTGTGTGTGTAATGCTAAAAATAGAGCTTCCATATGACCCAGCAATACTACTCCTAGGTATCTACTCAAAGACACAAAAACATTGGTTCAAAAGGACACCTGCACCCCCCATATTTATTGCTGCTCTATTTACAATAGGGAAGATGTGGAATCAACCCAAATGCCCAAAAGTAGATGATTAAATTAAAAAGATGTGGTGACCCTCCCTGGTGGCGCAGCGGGTTAAAGCACAGCACTGATAATCTAAAGCCGCTTCCACATAAGTTAGATTCCCTCCTGCCCCGGAGGTGACCACATGGCGTGGCAGACCTCTCCTGACCCGCCCGCTGCTCGCTGCTCCCCTCAGCAGTGTACTTCGTCGATCTGCCTGTTCTGTTCCCCACTCTGTCTCTGGTGAAGCCTCTCGCCACCCCTGAGCCTCTGACCTGCACCCCAGTTCTGTATGCACAAATAAATACATCTTTAAAAAAAAAAAAAAGATGTGGTGCATGTACATAATGGAATAGTACTCAGCAATCAAAAAAGATAAACTCTTGCCTTTTGCAGCAACAAGGATGGAGCAGGAAGGGATCATGCTTAGTGAAATAGAATAGCCAGAAATAGAAAGCCAGACAGAAAAAGAAAAATAAAGGATTGTTTCACTATTAGCAGGAGCATAAGGGACTGGGGTGGGGAGGAGAGCAGAAAGCAACTGTAATAAAAAAAAATGAAAAACAGCAAACAACTATATAGCAGAAACATTTTATGGGGGTAGAGTGGGGAATGGGATCAAAAATGGGGTGGGAAAGGTGCGTGGGACTATGGTGACAGCACACGGGTGAATTGGTGGTGGGAAGTCCATGGGGATTACACCAAAATGGAAAAGGCACAAAATGAAGAATGATGTAAAAATAAATGAAACACACACACATTTTAAATAATTTTCCTGAAGTATTTATTATATCTAGCCCCAGGGTAAGAGGTACCTTCACTATTCAGAACTTTGGGAAAAAACTAGTGGCATATCACACTGTTTAAATTCTATGTGTCATCTATCCACATTGTGCCTCTCCATCCTATGAGGTAGGCCCTAGGAAACTAAGTCATAAAGATTTTAAGTAACACAACCAAGGTCCCTCTTAGCTACTCCTCCACCTGGTTTTCTTGAGCATGTTTTGGGCGTTTGGATAGATACTGAAGAGACTGGTTGGTTTGAGACTAAAAAGTAAATGCCACTCAAATATTTTAGTTCCATCTTAAAAAAAAAAAAATGTATTTAGGAGCCCCTCCCTGGTGGTGCAGTAGGTTAAAGCACAGCACTGAGAAGCTAAAACCACTTCAGCGTGAGTTAGATCCCCTCCCCAGAGGTGACCCACATGGCACAGCAGAGACCTCTCCTGACTCCTCAGTAGTGTACTTTGCTGATCTGTGTTTTCTGCTCCCCACTCTGTCTCTGGTGAATCCTCTCACTGCCCCAGCACCTCTGGCCTGTTTACATCTTTTTTTTTTTTAAAAAAAGATGTATTTAGGGTCCTCCCTGGTGACACAGTGGATTAAAGCACCTCACTAAGAAGCTTAAGCCACTTGGGCATGAGTTCGATCCCCACCTGCCCCGGAAGAGATCCACATGGCGTGGCAGACCTCTCCTGATCCGCCTGTCGCTCCCCTCAGCAGTGTACTTCGTAGATCTGCCTGTTCTGCTCCCCTCTCTGTCCCTGGTGAATCCTCTCACCCTCCGCATCTCTGGTCTGTACCCCAGCTCTATATGTATGAATAAATAAATAAATCTTAAAAATATGTATTTATTTATGCATACAGAACTAGGATACAATCAGAGGTGCAGGGGGTGAGAGCATTCATCAGAGACAGAGTCAGGAGCAGAACTGGATGCTAGATGGAGGACAGTGATAGGAGCAGTGGGCAAGACAGGAGAGGTCTGCCACACCATGTGGGTCACCTCCCCTGGCTGAGGATCAAATTCGTGCAGTGGCTGCGATAGCTTCTTAGTGCTGTGCTTTAACCTGTTGCACCACTGGGGAGGGCCCTTTATTTGCCTCTTGAAATTGAGTGTTGACTTTCAAAATGTGAGATATATGCAAGGTGTCTTCTTCCTGCTAGTCTAAGTTTTCTAAAGGAAAAAGCACTTCTTTTTCCTGCTAGTGCAATTCTATCAGAATCCAGGGATTAGATTTAGTGACTTTAAAATCAATTGCCAGATACAGGACTAGTAAGTACAGCACGATCTGGGCTTAAATGGGTAGTTGCCTTACTTAGGTAAAGCTATAAAAGTCACTATCATGTGACATCATGCTTTCAAAGTTGATAAAATACTTTCAATTTTGATTGACAGAAAGACATTCTCTTTTGTACTTCAAACTCTGTGACAAATCAAAAATTAGTCAATTGGTCTGTAATCTAAACTTTTTATTGCTCTTGCAAACAGTTAAGAACTTCAGTTATTGACTTTTTACTATCAGCACCTTTGTTTATCTAGTTGCAAATATGAATTATCATTTTCAGTATTAGAAGTGATAGGGAAAAAGAAAATAGGTTACCTATTTTCAAAGCAAACATTGTAGAGTTTTATGGGTATATGTGGCTCAAACAAAATCGTTCATTCATTCTATGAAAAATTTTTCCATAGGCAATTCTTTAGGAATCTTTATTAGGGTGTGAAGCCAATTGTTGTGTGCTTTGCCCTAAGAAAGCCACACTAAGTGAAAAGAGCAAGGGGTTGAAATGGGGAGAAATAGGCAGAAAAATTGTCCTAAGAGGGAGTTAGGAAGAGGAAAAAGAGAAAGGAAAATAATACATTAGAAAATTGGTTCTAATAACTCTTTAGGATTCTATGATTAATAGAGCTTTTGGTATTAAAGTTTTTTATTACCAGAGTCTAGTATGGTATCAGGGCACAAGGGAAATTATCCTGTACCCCTCTGGATTCTTCTAGGCTTGCAAATAATCAACAAACATTATACAGATTGATGAGAAAATATCAAGAAAAGTGTTTAATAATAATATGTATTGTCTTGTATGCATGGGAGAGA